CAAGATTTCCTGGCTCTCAGCAGGGTCAGAGAGCAGCAAATCGCTTGAGAAACTGGGTGAGAGAATAAAAACCCTGGTTCTGTTTATTCAGGGGGATGTTGCGAGTCCCCTTGGGACGTGTCTCTCCTTCCAGCTGTGGCTCCTGTCCCTCCGCGACTCGCCGTTTCCCAGGAAGTTTACTCGGGCGGCAGCGTGCGGCTCTGGTCCGACTACCTCAGCGTGCGCTTGCACCCCAAGAGCGTCTACGTCATCCACCAGTACATGCACGATGGGTACGGCCGGGGTCAGAATCTGTTGTCCACAACAGGCTTAATTTTTCCCTCAAGGCAACCCTAAGAGGGTGTAGAATAAGCTTTTTCCCTTCTCTCTTCCTTAGGGACTGTGGTTGTCTGGAAGCTTTCGGACAAGGCGAGAGTCTCCTGCAGGATCCTGGCTGCATCGAGGAGTTGGAAGATCGGCTGCACTTCTACGTCGAAGAGTGCGATTACCTACAGGTTTGACAGCTTAATCCAACCTCCCTCTTCTGTCCGGAACCTTTCTGCTCAAGGTTAGCAGAATCGCAGATGCTGCCATCATTTCCTGCAGGGATTTCAAGTCCTCTGTGACCTACACAACGGATTCTCCGGGGTTGGTGCCAAGGTGACAGAACTGCTCTGCGACGAGTACTCGGGAAAAGGAATCCTGACCTGGGGCTTGACTCCAGTCACAAGTTCTGCGGGAGTAAGTGAACTCTGGGAAAGAGCAGGGACTGGCGGGCATGAGAGCCTCGGCCTGGATTAGGCCGTTCCTTGTTTGCATCTTCAGATTCTAACGGTTGGATTTCCACCTCTCCAGGATTCTCAGAAGAATTTTTACAGACTGATGAACACAGCCCTGGGCATCGTCCGTCTCGCCAGTCACAGCTCGCTCTTTTGCCCCATGTCGCTCTGCGGGAGTCTGGGAATCAAGCCACAACCTCCCGTTACGTTCCCGTACATAAACTACGATGTACGTGCTGTGCGGCGCTTTACCTAGAAACGGCACCTGCCCCCGCTGCTTCCAGCTTTTTCAGCTTTACCCCTTTCTCGAGCGTTTCTGACTACATCTTTGCAGCCGTGGTTTTTTGTTACGGTGTGCTGCCAAGCAGAGATTTTCTCCTGCTTTTTCACGGTTAGCAGAGACTTCACAGCCAACTTTTCATTCCCACAGTCTTTTCAGACGCTCAGAGTTTGTGCCTTGCAGTCTTTCAGCTGGCGCACTGCCTTCAGTTCTGCCGCTGGAACACCCGCGGCACTGTGTTACTCTGCGGGTGGGGGGTACGTAACCCCGGCCTTGCCCGAGCACTGCAGAGCTGCTGACAAGAAAACTGCCAGCAGGA